ACGAATCGGAGAGAAGCAGAAGTCCCGTGAGACCTGCAACCGTGCAATACGACACCTGCTGCCAGGGTCGGGCAACAGCGATCTACATCGACAAGGTGTCCAGATTCTTCTTCCCGTTCTCATTCCTCATCCTGAACGTCGTCTACTGGAGCACCTTCCTGTAGGAGGTCTGCCCTTCTCTCGCAGAAGAACGAACACGGAAACGAAGATCGCTGGATCGTCGACGGTCTCCAACAATGTCTTTCGTTCGATCTTTGTTAATCATTTCGATTCAACCAAATGAAACTCCATAGACGAACGAAATGACGATATTATACGATTCGTTACTTGGATAAATCGTCGAGGAAACTTCGGTCTCTGCCGGACAACGAGAAATTTAGCTTTGGTCGTTGGACGGAACGCATCGAACAATTAACAAGAATCGAACGAGCCGGACGGTTTTTCTACGACGAGATAGTCCGCTAGAAGAATTTTCAGTGTCTTTTATATAATATAGAGAACACGCGCCGTCAACGGTTCATTAATCGTAAGAGCATTTTAACAATTAAGTCGCATTAAGGTTCCTCCGAAGAGCGCATATCGAATCGAGCGATCACGTACTCACCCGTTTGGGCGATCCACGGGAGCGGCGTGCACCTTCGACGCGGATCGCATCTGTATCACGTTGAACAATCTCTTAAGACCCGTTCGCTCACCGCGATTGATCGTTCAATTTAGCCGGTCTCTTCGGTCACTTGCTCTTGTCTGCTCGAGTTTTGCTACGATAGATACACTCGATGATATTTCCCGCGAAACGTTCTCGCGCACAGCCTCGCGTTTCCTCGGTATCTCGCCGCACTTTTGCCTTTAAAATAATAAAATAATTCTACGAACATTGATTACCTGCACACAAAGTAGAGAAGCGATAAAAAGTGTAAAAAAATTTCAAGATCGTTGAAAGAATACTTTTATGCAGAAACGTTGTTTTCGTAAAGTGGAACGATTGAAAATTGATAAAAATACGACAGCTTTACAGAGCTTCGACATGCAATCGCTTCGAATATCGCAAACGAAAAGGCAATGCTGTTCGCGTGAACGTTCGATCGTGATTACATCTTCGCAGAACAGTTTTACTCGTTTTGTGTGATCGCAGAATTTAAGGACAAATAAACGGACTATTAATACGTAGACACGAGCCCTGCTGCCTGCGACGAATCGTTTGCCCCGTTGTGAAATAAATTGCGAAGGTAAAAGGATTGGGTGAAAGGAGCAATGAAAAAGACGTGGAGCTTTGCGAGTCAGCTTATTTATTCTTTCGACAGTCGATAGAGCCTTTTATTCGAGTATTTAAACAGATCCTGGCTTCCTGCCTCCTTGCGTCCCCTTCTTTTCAGTCTGCTGGATCGATGGAACTTGCTTGCTTCCGCCAAGTTCCAACCTCGAAGAGCCGGAGAACTCGAGGTCGCCACCTAGAGTCTACAATCTTGGACAAACTTTAACTTACCATTCTTTCGGTATTAAAAGAATAATCTCTGAATCTATTTTTATCAAAAATAAAGACATCTTGAGTATAAAAGGTAAACACAAAGGAGAAAGACAAAAGGATTGTCAAGTAGAATATCGGGTATCGATTACTGCTTCTCGAAATCGAGAAAGTATTTTCCACCATTTTCGAGCAACAACCCCGGTTCTTGTCATCCTTGCACGAATTAACGATCGTGGCATCGTTTAAACCGCAACGGCCAGAGTTGCAGCAACGAAAAAGGATACGGTCTGGTACGCGAGCTGTGACGGAACAGGAAGTGGAAGCTCATAGAGAAACAGGGAATTTGGCTGAACGACGAAGGACCTGGCCATTTCATTTTCCTCTTGCGCCATTTGGATCGCGGCACTTTTAGTCGATGACGAGGATCTCCGGTAAACGACCAGCAGTAATTAATTGGAACGAATGCGCGGCCTGGCTCCGGTTGCTCGCGCAGAATAATTAAATCCGTACGTAAGGTGGCGTAATTGTAACGCGGTCGAATGGGTATCTGTGTGTCGCGAGACGGAACACGTTGCCTCGAAAAGATGTTCCACTTTTTTTTCTGCGCTGCCGCTTAATTAAAACAACGCGTCGTCGACGTTTTTCCGCGGCTCCTCTACTTCCCTCGTCTCCGATCCCGTTCTCCCGGTACCGCTTTAATAATCCCGAGGAACGCGAAACGCTCCTATCTAATAGGTTTTTAACGGCCAACGTCGCGAATCTCCCTGCTCCATTTCTGATTTCGCCAACGAGTTTCTCCATCGAACTGCGAGCGTCCGGATATCGCTTCGTTAAACGGCGTGCTCTCGTAAGGCGATCGAACCTGTTAGAGGCGAGAAAGCGGAGCGAAATGCTCGCGCTTCTAACCTTCTTTTAATTTAATCGCGGAATCTGTTGGAAAGTTTGGATAGGAAGAGGAACCCGCTTATTCCCCGTTTTAATTTCCCATGCCACTTATTTTCCACTTTCAACTCGCTTTCTCCTTTCGATCTTTACACGAGCAGCCAAAATGCCAAAAACGATTATCCAACTTAATAAGTAAGCTCGAAGCTTGTTTGTTACATCCTTTAGAGATACTCGTCGTCCGGCCGAAGTAAACTCCTGACCGAGCTCAAACTGGTAACAATAAATAATTCTACGGAAGTGTTTCCCTCGGGGCAATTTGTTCTCTAGTAGCGCGCGCCGCCACTTCAAGTCGTTTTACTCCTTCAAAACGCCGCTTTCAGGACCGATCTAGCTGTCATCGCCTATCTCTTTTCTTTCCTCCCTGGACTCTTGTCTTTGTACGCCGCTTCGCCGCGTCTCTGCCCATCCGTACGGTGGCTGGCTTCTATTTGGAGAGAAAAACGGAGAGTCGGGACGATGAAAGCGAGCCGAACAGCCCGCGAGCACCGGAAACGGCGATGACAATGCCACGAGCACACATGTGTACAAACTCACGTTCCAGTCTACGAGGAGAGAGTTTTTAATCATGGCATTTTATCCTGAGAGAGCCTTTGTACTCGCGATGGAGATACTTTCGTCCACTCTAACCCCTCCGTCCATTTTTCTTCTTCTCCTTCCTTTCCTCTCTTTGCTCTCTCCGTTTACGCGGAGAAGCTTTTAGCCAGCCTCTTTATGTTCCTCCTCTGCCCCGCGTCCCAACGATTTAAAGAGTTTCAGTGCGACGAGTCAACAGAATTAATTGAAATTTGGAATATCGTTGCAACGTGGCGTCTCGAAAACGTGTCCACCGAGCCTCGCAGTCCAATTCTCAAAATTCGCGTGGATGCGCGGCTTGAAAGGAAGCAGCGATACGACGAAAGGAGACGCGATACGACGCGAAATGACACGACGAGGAACGATATGGCGAGACGTTGCGAATTTTGTACGCGGCGGACGAACGTTCGAAGCACCGTACCGACATGACCGGGCTAAACGAATTTCATTTTACGAGGCAGTGAGTTTCGTTTGTGAGATTTCTGGTGGACGATCAGTGAGTTTCCTATCGCGTTTCTTGCCATTACATTTCCAGTACCTGCGACATCCCTCTTATCAGCCATCTTTATCTCCACATATCCATCGGTCGTTTAAGGGAAGTTAACAAGCACGCAAAGTAGGCAATTACAGAATTCTAGAATGTCGATGTGGAGGAGCATGTGATCGGTCGCGATTCGGCGACATCGAGGACAGAGGTAGCCCACCTTTAACGAGATCCCTTCGTTTGCGTAATTAACTATCGACTTTCTGTCGACAATCTTGTTAACGAGAAGCACGCCGATCGTTAATGGATTCCGGCGAGCCGAGGCGGACACACAACCAGAGATGGCGAAATAATTATTCTTTGCTTCCGAATATGCCGGCATCCGCTGCACGTCGAAAATATAACAGGGATGAGAATCGATACGAGCTGGTTTTCGCGGAGAAGATTCGGTAATTGCGAGCTTTCTTCGACCGGTTCTGTCCGCCGAAAATTCCACTCCACTGTGTCAGGAATAATCGGGCAGAGGAGAGGCGTCTCAATTAAAATCGTGTTCCAGGGCCGAGGTAAGAAAAGAGCGCTCTATTATCAACGACGTTGCGTCAAGGGAAATTTCGACCGCTTTCCTTAAAAATATTATTCAACGCGGTAACCCAGATCCGGAACCACCGATATAGAAAACCGTACGCTCTTGAATAGTTCGATGGAATTAGCGAAGAAACGGTGCACGGACAGCACGACCTGAATCTACTTCAAAAAAGGAACTCCATCGTCTTTCCGTAATATGTTTCGAAACTTGGATATATGTCTATGATGGGCAAACTATGGACATCTCGTCGAATCTGTATAGAAGCTAGCATTCGTTGCGTCGTCGACGTTCAATTTCCAATTTAAGCTCGGTCCAGTATCGACGTCCTTGACCGACGTTCCGGAAATAAAACGACCTAATCGCGATTCGAAAAAGTGGCACGAGTGGGTTTCACGATACAGCCATAAATATACCGCGTTCGAGCGACGTTTACGTTGCGGCTAGCAAATACCGTTGCGCCCGGTTCGTATCGTCCGGTGGCTAACGAGCACGTTCTGTCGCACGTTCACGCAAATACGAATCAATTTCCCGCGCAAACGAGAGCGCGCGCCTACCTCTTTCGCCTTTGTGGCCGGTGTTCCGCAAACACCAATTAATTCCGTGTTTTCTTTTCGTTAGCCGCTGCTACAATTCGACAGTGGGACACGGGGACGCGCGGTCTCCACGGACGAATCGCGGGAAGTTCGTCGACACTCTTGGGATGAACGATGGTTAGAGGCGTGATCGGAGATGGAGTGTTTGATGGATCGAACGAACTGGCAGTATTGGAAAATTTGGTTTTCCTTTTAGCCCGTAGCGTCAAGGGTACTAAGCGAAGAAGTCTGTTTCACTCTTTTTTCGTTTGTTTGATCGATCGGTCGATTATTCGATAGATAAGAAATTAATTTAATCGCGCGAGATTCGCGAGACGAAACGCCGTACGAACGGAATGAAGGGACTGTAGCGTGTTAAATATGAATTTCAATTTATTTTTCACTTTTGAGTAAGGCGTGGAAGCTACCGAAGACGGACAACACCATCGGCTAAAACGTCTTCATCCCGTTCCTAGTTACAACTATCGGGTGTACTTGTTACAACGTGCCGGCGCTTGACCGCTGTCGATAAATCGTCTTTCCAACTACCTTTCCTTTTTTTTTCTTTTTTATTCTTTTACTTCTCCGTCCACTTATTACGTATGTATATTTATTTATTCATTCATTTATTTATTTATATATATATATAGATTTTTCTCCTTTGTTTCTTTTTATCTGTTTCTCTCTGTTCTCTTTACTCCATCTTTTTTTTTTACAGTTGTACGATTAAAAATATCGTTATTGCCAAGTATGATCGATAACACGGTGCGTAACCCCGAGCCTCTGACCGGAGAGACAATTGTTCTCGTGTCCGCTTAGGAAACTAAAGTTAGTGCATCGGAAACTAGACGTTTGCGCGACACCGCTCGACGAACACTATCGTCGCGTTTCTTTCCCCTGGAGTTTCCATCGTCTTTGTCCCTTTTCGATTCTTTCTCAGCGACGTTTCTTTACACGAGGCTACGAAAACAGTCAGGATGATCGCTTTCCTTTCGAACTTCCCGTGATTCATCCTCGCTGATCGTTCTTCTCGCGTGAAAACTTCGATTAGAAGAACGCTCGACAGTTTTATGTTCGATCGAAAGATTCGAGGATTAATTAAATTTCGTGGAACTAACGGGATCAGAAGCGTTCGAAGGAGAAGCGACCCCCTTGTTCGATCAGTTTTAAGAAAAATATACAAAGAAGAAGGGAAGTTCGACGAACTCGGTGTCCGGCGCAGGTCTCTGCGTTGCGACGATCCTCGAATCACCGGCGGTCTGTTCTCGTTTCCAATCTGGCTCGATTAATCGTCGCTCGATTACATAAACTGTCTAGTCACGACCGGGAGAGGGAACTTTGAAATTGATTGCAACCTACATGCGTTGAGAAACTGTAAGAGCTTTAGTTTCACGAGGGACACGTGTCCAGGAACTGGTGAATCTCGGTAAAAGTTTCAATAACGGCAGGATAGTTTATAGAAATGTACATCTTTGCGTTGCATGTCACGCTGTTACGGATAAACTTACGAAACATCGAGAAATCCACTAAAGTTATTTATTACGCGATCGTGAAACTTTTCTAAGAATTATCGAACATCGAGACGAACTTGGAAAAACCATCGTTTAAAATGAACGTAGCTTCTAAAATTTTCGCACAGCTATTCGTTCTCAATCTTTCACCGTCGGTTTCTCAACGCTTTCGCGTAACACAAGATTCGTCCGTGAATCTACTTCGCTCGTTGCAAATGAACAGAAATTTCGTATTCATTGGATAATTTCCCGCGGCTGGAAAACCTGGAAAAGTTTGGTTTCGCAGGCTCGATCTCCCGGTCGAACGGCGTGAATCGCAATCACGGTGGAGCGTGTCAGGAACATTGGCCGATCCTGCTACGCTCGCAGGTCCTGTGGACGGTGTCCTGATTACAAAAGGATCGCTTTTTCCGTTCACGATGCAAAAGCAAGTCCACCGGAGGGACCGGCGGAGAGGGTGGCTCTTTTAATCGGCTTCGAAACAAAGCGGAAGCGGCACGGCTGATCGATCGAACCGCTCGAATTCAGTCGCGTCTGATGCTCGCGCCACGGTTCATTCAGTTTCCTTCGATTCCTCTCGCACCGCAGGAGAATCGCGTTGCTTTTTCCATTGATTGTGCGAGGCGAAAGTACCCGCTTCTTTCTCTTTGTGTCGATTACATTTAGCGAGAACGATCGATTCGAACGTATGTTCAGAACGTAGGATTTTGTTGGATCGGGCGTTGCAGCATCGACGGAGTTATCACAGGGGAATAAATCGCTGAATATCGATCAATTTATAGATTTCAAAAAGAACACGGACGCTTGTTGTTCGTTCGAAAAAATTGCTATTATCTTTAGCGGTAGATTACGATGTATAATAGGGAAAAACCGTGGCAATGGTTTAGCGATAAAGAGTAGAACCCTCTGTGACGTGTCCCTCCGGAAACATCGCGGGATAGCTCTCCGTCAGGACTTCGGAGCGACGAAAGAAGACGAACAAAGGTCGGACGAGCGTATGTGGACGCGAATCGTATCGCTCGTCGCGCCAGTTCGCCTCGCCTTAAACTCTTATTAAAGTTATTACGCGTCTCATCGGAAAAATTGGCAGTACGGTAGTGAATTGAAAGACTCGTTATTCATGTTCCTAGCTTCCCTCGATCGCGTGTTCCCTCGATCTTCTCGTTCCTTGTGCACCACAAAGCGAATAAAAAAAAAGAGAAGTGTAAAGATCATCGGAACAATGGAAATACCAGTTCGCAGAAAATAAACAATAATGTCAAATAACAGAGATACTTTTCTCTTTCTCTCTTTCCATTTTGTAAATATAAAGACTGTCGTATTCCGCTATAGGAAGCAGAGAGTGTCAAGCAGCTTTTTCCTCGGTGCACACGCATCACGAGAGTCACCGTTTCATCCCCTTTATTTTCTTTTATTCCTCGAAAATTACTTGCATAGAGCTCGGCTCGAGACCGATCGATTAGCCGGTGAATTGGCCGGCAACGGCAGCGCCGACGCGATTTCCGGCTAACGCCACGAGAAACCACGGGGAGGAAATCGACGAACCAGGGACTCCCGACGATCCGTAATCGAAATCGAAGACCGAGTAGAAAAGGTTCGCGAACGACCCTTGCCGAATCGGAAAATCTCCGTGCATCGCTGCGTCGCGAACCGGAAGTAAAGACGCGATAACTCGCCAACAACGACAGACTAATTAGTTCCGGCAAATTAATCTCTAAATAACTCGCGCACGCTGCTACGTTTTTTATCGATTTTTATTTTCTATGCTTTCTTCTTCTTCTTTTTCTTTTTTTTTTTTTATTCCTCGTTCTTTTACCGAGTTTCCCGAGCAATTTCGTGCTGGCAAAGGCAACATGGCGTCGAAGCTTAACCCGGACAGCCATTTTTCTCGACCAACAAATTGGGTACGTCATATTTGTTATATTTCTTTCTTTTTCTTGCTTTTCCTTAAATTTATTAGAATCTTTCTAAGACAAGAAAGGAATAAAAAATGTACGATAACATCGAGGGATCGTTATAATTTAAATGTTGCGAGAGAGAGGTATTATATTTAAATTCGGATTAAGCTCGAGCCATCGTTTTGCTACGTTCGATTTCTTCGTAGCATTAACCTTACACTCTCTATTTTCTCTATTTTTCCTTCTCTCTAGTTTCCCATTCGCTTTTTAATACGCGATCTCGTGATACAACTGCAGCTCTTTGGACGACAAAGGACCTGACACATTATTCTCGATTATCTCTACGATCATATTAATATAATGTAATAATCTTCTTTTTTTTTTCTTTTTTATTTACTTAGATTCACGTTTACGTCTTTTTCTGCCCGTGAACCACCGAGCCGCACCTCCGACGATGCATTTTTCGCATTCTATGTTAATAACTTCCTGACCTCGCTAATATTCTTCCTTCCCCTCCCTTTTCGCTTCAACGTTGAAAATAGTTTGTTCTACATTTTTCTTATTTTCGGCTACACGGTTCGAAGAATTCTGCCGCACTTGACTTTAATCTGTATCGTGATGCTTCCATGCACATAGCTCGCGTGGATGAAAATTAATAAAATAAAAAAATTCTCCCTTCCTTTGTTCCCTTTCCGTCCCACTTTCGATTTTCAAGAGTATTTTGAGCAACCAAAACACGCGTACCCTCGCTCATCTAAAATTAGCTAATATTTAACATCTAAATTAGAGTTTAAAGAAGGGTTGGGCTCGGTGATTCACGAGGGTTGGTCTCCCACGCACTCAGGCACGCATTCTAGTTTTTGAAAGTTGATTTAGAATTTGTTTTATTGCGCGACGCGAGGGTGCTGCAAGTTTGTATGTGTATGTGTGTATGATTAGTAATATGTGTTAATACGTCCTCCTGACGTACTTCCTCTCGTTCCGACGTATTTACGTTCGTGTGCGCCTGTGTGTACGTATGTGTATGTTTACCTGTAGAATATATCTGTATATCTTTATGTATATATATAATATATTCCTTTTCTTATTTGCATTTATCATATTATATATATATATATATCCTCTCTGTCTCTTTTATTTTCTCTGCTTTTGGTTTCTTTTTGTTCTCTTTTGTTCGTCTTCGCTCCGTTAGATCGTTTACAATTAATTACAAAGTTAATTACAGACAACACGAGACTCCTCCCATGCCTCCCACGATTATTTACAGCGTCGTTTAAATTAAAACACACCGATTCTTCGTAGCCTATTGTCGCCCGAGAGAAGGTTCCTGCGAAGTTCTAACGTTGTTTCATCCCCCGAGATAAACGAGGTTCGACCGTGGATTCGCTGGACCCACCCTTCCATCCCTGTATTTCTTGCAACCTCCCACTTTATAATTACGAATTGCGGTAGAATTAAAAAAATTGGCTCATTCACTTTCGATATCCGACAACGATTCCGAACAAATGCAGCTGAAGCGCAACGATTCCACAATCGATTCCCGTTGATTATTCGAATCGGCTGTTCGATCGACAAATCTATCAACTAGGGAAAAAAAGAACGAAAACTGGACTCGTCGAAGAGTTTTGAAAGAACGAGGGCATCATCTTACTTTATTTAGAGTATCAAGGTACGCGGTCCCTAGCGAACGCTCGCGATCGTTTCTCGTCGATCTCACCCATCCCTAATACTAGAAGGGCACCAGCGAATACGGGAATTCTACGTGGATACCATTCGAAAACCCTACTCGTACCATCGTTTCTTACATTTTACGACCGCGATCGTAAAATTACTATATTTCTTCCTGCTCTCTTATATTTCTCTTTTTATATCCGCCTCGACGAATCGATCGATCATCGTCGTCGTTTCGCGTACCCTTAAATGTATCGTTCGCTAACTTAAACCTAGCGAGTTAAGAGACTCCTTATAAGAAACTGCGTACGTACGTTTCATGGATCGATCGAATTTCTCTCGCTTTCGCGAAGACATTTTTAAAAATCGAATTTATCCTTATAACTAGAAGGGACGTTCTTTCTTTTCTCTCTCTCTCTCTCTCTCTCTCTCTCCCATTCTCTCCCTAACTTTCTCTCTCTCTCTCTCTCTCTCTCTAACTCTCTCTAAAGAATTACGACGACTCGTAAGAGTTGGAACGATCGTAAACGACGGTTGATCGTTCGCTTTCCCTATCGCCTGGATCGTTCGTTTAAGATCGCTAATACGATTCTTTGACACCGTCCTTCCTCTCGATTATTTCGGCCCGGCACTTCCGGCTACTTTTTCGCTGCGAGAAGCGTCCATTCGAAAGAGGAAGTTCCGACGACGTCCTTCTTGGAAACGTACCAAGAAAGATGCTGTGAAAGAGCGCAAAGGAACGGGGAAAGTGAGCGTTTCGTTGGAACGATGCGAACGAAACTCGATCGACCGATCTATATGGCGACTACGCTCGTTTCCCGGTCGGATTGATGGACGCGCGCGTTGCGGAAATAACGAGGCGGCTGGAACGCGCGCCAGTTGTGCCGGAAATCAGCGAGTCGCGCGGCATTTTCTGCCGATCGGCTGGAAATTGAAAAAGCTCCTTTCCAAAGCGAGAACAGGAGGCAAAGTCGATCAACGTGCACGCATCGACGAATCGTTTTTCACCAGCGTCCGATTTCACGGCGTTCCGGTTCGGATACGTTCGTCCTTCTTTCCTCGTTTTTCTTTCCGTTTTGTTGCAAACAGGGTGTCGCGCCTCGTGTTCTCGGGCGGAAAGAGGCGCAGCTAACGCGGTACGAGACGGGACTAAAATCCATCGATGCCACGTATCTCGCGAGCGAAAACAGAAAGAAGAAGGTGGTGCAGGCGCGTGTGCGTGCATTCGCGAATCTTCGTCCTCGAAAACACGAAGAATTCCGGCTTCGATCGTTGGCGGGAAGTCCTCTTCTTCGCGTTCCTCCGGTTTCGTGTCTTCCGTCCAGCTTCGAGTCGCGCGGAATACTTGCCCTTCGAGAACGTGCGGCTTCCGTCCTCCTCGAGGACGTCGTGGATCGTCGTCGATCCTTTAATGCTCTGCGTTCGTTGAACGTTTGTTTGCTTTATAGTTTTCTCTTTCACAGTGACTCCGTGGAAACTCTCTCTCTTTCTCTCTCTTTGTTTCTCATGGTAAATGGTGGCGCCTGCCATTCCAGGCGCCATCGATTCTCGCGTCTGTCTCTGCTTTCTTACTGAAATTAAAAGCGCTCTGATACACTGGATTCGCGCGTAAGTCGCGGTCGTTCGAAAGATCGATCGAGGTGCCAGACTGTCGATGAAAATCCACGCGGACGATGAAAATCGTCACTCTTCGTTCGCATAATTTTCCACTCTCGAGAGCTCTACTGGTGGTTGAGATCGTGGTACGAATTTATACTTGCTCCTAATTGCTTTCTTATTCCGCTTTGTTTGTTAAACAGGATGATACGAGTTATACTGAAGGAAATCAAGGGACGTTTAGCGATATTTACGGCGTGAAAATAGAATCAGCAGACCGTTATGTTCCAAAAGAGCAGCAGAAATTTTGTCAAAGTCATAAAGTCGAGAAGTATCACGAAGATAAGCATCCCGACGAAATCTCCTGGCACTTGGTCTTGGTCCAATCACTCTTACTTTACTATTCTAGGGCTAAGGGTGATGAAACAGGCTCGCTAGGGAAGAGAATCTTCTCCAAGGAGTTAAATTCAGGCTAAAAGAACGTCGAGTATATTTCCCCTGAAAAAATCCCTCGGTTGGTTAGCGTGTCGCGTGAAATCTCGACAAGATTGCCATTAAAAAGTCGCGCCGTGTGAAATCTCACTCACGAAGCGTGCCAAATAGCCACGCGACCAACTTTCTTTTAGAACGAGTCCTTTGAAACTTCCTCCCGCTTCTTTGTACCTCGGCCAACCGTTCCTTTGAACATATCTACCGTTTAACGGAATTTATTGAATAGAAAAACGTCGCGGAGAAGATTGAAATTCAATTTCAGAGACCTGCACGAAGACTCGAGTTTGGCGAAACACGTCGTACAACACGTTTCCGAAATCGTGCTGCGACCAGAAAAAAACGATTCTTCGCGTAAAATTACGTGGAAAACGTGGAATCAAGTTTTTCCATATAGAGCTTCGTTTTGGAGAAAATCGAGTTCGAATATTCGCGGAATACGCTCGCACTCGACTAACCGCAATCTGTTTGGTTTCTCCAGTCTGGTTAACCATCGTTACTTTCATTTACGTTTATAAACAATAACGAAACTTCAAAAATCCCAAGCTTTGGACGTGAAAAATACGAATCGTCAAAGGCTAAAAAAAAAAAAACACGCGATAAAAATTTTATTTGCAGCGTCAAAGAAAGAAACAGAAAAAAGAGACAAAAAAACAAAGGAAAAAGAAAATAGGAAAAAAATGACGAGTAGGCGCGTGTCTCGCATCCGTTACCGGGTCGTTGGTTCGAGCTTATTGTTCGCGGCGTTTCAGGAAGTCAGAGAAGTTGGCGCGCGCGGGAACTAGGCCTCCTTTGAAACTCGGTCACGGCGCCTCGGAGAAAAAGGAAGAAGAAAAGCCCGTGCGAACGAAGAAGAACCGATTGTTGGGCTAAGAACAGGCCTGGCAAAACGGATCCCGTCCCAACCCCGCCTCCCC